TTTGGTTTTTTTTAGTCCATGAGAATTTCAAAACAGGTCATCAGGAACATGGAGAAAGAAAAGCTACATGCTGTTAATGCTGAAGAAAGTAGTGTCCTCCAGGAAAGATGGCTATCAGACGAATGCATAAATGCAACCATGAACTTCTTATCCAAAAAAGCAAAACTGTGATGACTAATATAGCAAAGTTAAGCATTTCGAAGGAGGGGATGTGCTATGATTTCTAATTTCCAATACTTCAACTAAATAAACTTCACTGTAAAAAAAAAAAAAAAAACTGCTACAAACATTTATGTGATGGTTTTTGTGTGGATATAAGTTTTCAAATCTGTTGAATATATACCTAGGAAGATGATTGCTGGATCATATGATTAGAGTATGTATAGCTTTGTAAGAAACTGTCAAACTATCTTCCAAAGTGGCTGTACCATTTTGCATTTCCATCAACAATGAATGAGAATTCCTGTTGCTTCACATCCTTTCCAGCAATTGGTATTGTTAACTTTTTGAATTTTAGCCATATTTATGTGTGTGTTGTGGTATCTCGTTATAATTTGTGACAGCATTTTTAAAATTCCTATGCCCTCAACATTAAGCATAGTAGTAATAAGCACTTCATTATTTATTATTTCTGTTGAAAGAATGAGTGGGTAAAATAATGTTGCTGAATTACCAAATGACTTGAATAGTCATTAGATTTCTCCTCTTTGAGAATGATACTTCTAGGCCCTGACAACATGTTTCCCACGCACAGGAATCAATTGTGTTTACATTTTTAGGGGCTTTTCAATCACAATGAATGCTTTGAGCCCTCCTGTTAATCAGCATCTCAAGCATCCAAAAACCCCCATTTCACAAACATCCAGGTTGATCAGTATTTTACTGTTTCTTTTTTTGAGGGAGGGGGGGAGAAAGAAACATAGATTTGTTGGTCCACTTATTTATGCATTCATTGATTGATTCGTGTATATGCCCAAACTGGGGGTCGAGCCTGCAATCATGGCATATCGGGATGAAGCTCTAACCAACTGAGCTACCCAGCCAGCGCTTTGTGTTTCTTTAAGATCAGAATTAAAGCTCAAAGCCTGTGCTCTGGTCCTCCTACGTTCAGACCTGTCCAGGCGTGGTTGATGGTTCTTAGAGAGGCTGAGACAGAATATGCTAAGTTATGGAATAAAACAAATAGTCAGCAGCTCCAGCCTTAGACCCAAGTTCTAGAGCAGAATTCCACAGCTGGCATATGGGACAATGGGCTGCAAGAGGTGAGACCTTGAGCGCCCCCCCCCCCCCCAGCCTTCAGGGTGGATAAAAGCTGAGTGAAGGCCTTGGACCAGTTGCACCATGTGCCATAGAATTATCCTTTTCCATGTGTGCCATGACGTGAGAGAGCCTGGGGAGTACTGCCCTGAGTCCAGGTTGGTATTGAATACATTCAAATCATTTTGCTACCATTTTCACCATGAATCCCCATAACTCTTCATCTTATAAAACAGAAACTATACCTATTAAACAGTAACTCCTATTCCTCCTCCCCCAGTCCCTGGCAACCACATTTTACTTTCTGTCTCTGTGATTTTCACTATTCAGGAAATCTCATATAAAAGGAATAGAATATTTGTCTTTCTATGACTGGCCTGTTTCACTTAATATGTCTTCAAGGTTCATCCATGTTTTAGCATGTGTTAGAATAACATTCCATTGTATGGCTAGACCATATTTTGCTTATCCATTCAGTATGCTCACCTCACTCCTGTGTCCACCTTGTTTTTCTTTTTCCTGAGTTTCCTTATGCATTTCTTCAGACAAGGTTGTTAGAAGCCTGGAGAGTTAAATAGTTCAGGTCTGAATCCTGGATCCTTGTTTTACTTAACTTCTCTGAGCTTTATTCCTCATCTGTGAAATGGATATGTGGTAGGTATTTAGAGTTAAACAAGACAGTAAAGAATTGGCACAGTGCCTGGCACATAATAGATGTTCAACAAATATTAGTTATTAAAACATGCTCACCATTTGTACTTCTGAAATTTCTCATTCTTTTTGGAAGAGGTTGAGGAGAAGGAGGAATATCCTAAATTTATTAAATTAAATCTTCGAGATGATTTAACCCATTGCCATGAGTATTTTTAAGTGTCTCGTCCTAGGGTGTGAAAGTGATTTTTAGACTATACTGTGCCTGGGCACCCCAAGGTTTCCTGCCTTGAAGCTCTTTGGCCCTGTGATGACAGCAGGAGCAAATCTCTGGGTGCCTGTGGGCGCTGGAACTCCTGCACATCTGCAGGGAGGAGGCCCATTGATGGGCCTGGGTGAGCCCCCTGTGCCTGCAGTGGCCACCTGGGCTGGACTGAGCTGGAGGACTGGTGCTGCCTCTGAAGGCTCTGTCTCTGCCTTGTTCTGGCTTTCACCCACTCCTCTGCTCCCCAAAAGAGGGAGGAGGAGTTGGGAACATGTTGTCTTTGTGCTCTGCTTTTGGCCAACTCAGTGGCACTGTGGGTGCTGGCAGTCATGCCAGGGAAAACACTGGAATTCAGAACTGCACATGGAGTGTCAAGAGAAGGTTTCTAAGTCTGTGGGAAGAGCCAGGAAGCTGACATATTTGTGTGGGCAGAGCCCTTTGCTACACAGTTTTTTAAAATCCTTTTGCTCCTGGCCAATGTGGTTGACTGTCCTCCCAGCACCAAAGATCGCAGGTTCAATTACTGGTCAGGGCACATGCCATGGTTTCAGGCTCCATCTCCAGTAGAGGGCATGCAGGAGGCAGCCAATTGATGTTTCCCTCTCCCTCTCTCCCCCTCCCTTCTCTCTCTCTCTAAAATCAATTTAAAAAAACATATTTTAAAACAACTCTCCAATCACTTTAGGGAAGAAAAGAGAAAGAAAATCCTTTTGCAGACTGTAGTGTGAGAGCTTGAGACATCAAGAGCAGTATTGTCAGTATTAAATGCTAAATGATAAAGGGCTGGTTGGGGACGTTGCCCTGGCAAAGTGGTGGTGAGGACCATATAAAACAGTGAAGCTTGATGTATGGGGCATCAGCGTTGTGTATGCTGCTGGATCTTTTTAATAAGGATGAAATCTACCCACCAGTGGTGGTAGATCAGTTCTGTGATGGACCCTTTTATACTGGGCAGTGGAGGTGAGGACTGACAGATGAGGACCTCTCCTGGCTCACTTGTCCATCCAGGAACGACATCTCCCTAATGTCTCCACAGCACTTCTTTCTCTAAAGCATCCTGGATTATCTGAGTGAGTCTGGACATCTCTAATCCGAATGTCATGTGATTACAGGATCCAGTCAGAACCAAGAGCAGCCATCCAGTAGTTCTGAGGAGACATCTGGGACAGAGGAGGAGAAAGAGGAAGAGCCCAGCTTCATCATGGGGCGATGACAGTGTTGGCGACAGTAGCTTTCCGGGGCCCAGGGCCTCAGAAAATCTCCACATGACCCAAGGAGAAAGGCGACTGTTTGAACTGTCTCTCTCCCAAGGCCTCGCTGGATAGAAGCCATCCTGACTGCTGTGGCCCTGCCAATAGGGACAGAGAAGACTGTCTCCTGGACACTCAAGGACATTGCCAAGCGGAGTTCATTCATGTTCCCGCTAAAGGGGGAAACGTATAACCTTCTGCCCCTGCTGTCTGTTCTCACATATTTGTACATTGATGAGTTTTGGGTGGTATCTGTGAAAGGAATGTTTATTTATTAAAGAACAGAAAAACTTGAGGTTTTTATTGGACCTGGTGCCAAAGT